CCCTCCTCAAATTCTAAACAACCCACAGCACAAAACACAGGTGCCACTAACAAAAAACACATACACATTTGATCATACTTTTCTCCTACTTAAAACTGCTATCGTTGCCCATTTGTTAACAGAAAATGCAATCTTTAAAACATAAAGAGATCCTCATGACCTATTCACACTTAATTTTTCATCCTGCTCACTAACCAAACTATCCCTTTTCTCAGATACATGAAGACACCATTATTCACTTTCCTCATGCTGCTTCAAACTGCAATGCCAGAATGCCCTTTCCTCCTTGTCAATGCCTATTTATTTAACATAGTTTGGTTCAAGAACCAATTCTGTGAGCTTTTTTCCAACCCACTGCATGTAAAACTGATTGCCTGATTCCCTTTAGTGTCTTCACTGTACCCTGAACATGACAGTATCTTATTTTTATCATCATGTCAGTCTGTTGTTACTAGATTACAAGTTCCTTGAGGGCAGAGAAAATCTTATAAGTTTTTTTTTATCTTCAGTGCTTTGCTTTTACCTAATATAGATAAATTTAAGAAGTAAGATGCCAATCCTAGATATACAATAAGGTATATTACCAAACATTTGGAAAACAACGATTTTTACTTACTCAATGAATAAATGAATTACAATCATTATACAATGGTAATTTATTAATATATTTAAGGATGAGCCTGTGGTTTATTTCTCCTTTTCAAAGGTCTTTCAGACTTTCTTCCTAAATGGTTAGAATAACCTTGAAGGCCTAATTTTTGCCCAAAATAAAGAAGGCTGGTAGACATGACTTATCTTCTTTATTTGTTCCACCTGGCATCAAAATCTCAATCAGATCATTGATCTGAATTCACTATTTCTGGATGTTACAGTAATTATTTGGGTGCATGTTGTAGGCTTACTAAACCAGAAAGGGTTGAGAGAAGGAATGATTTAGGAAATGAAAATTTCACAACTGGGCAGAAAGTGGTTTGAGCTGGTGAGAAAGTGAATGCCCCAGGAGGCTAAGGCAGGAGGATCATAAACTTGAGGCTAACCTATGTAACTTAACAAGACTGGGCCTCAAAATAAAAAGTAAAAAGGGCTGGGGATGTAGCTCAGTGGTAATGTGATCCTGGGTTAAATCCCCAGTATCAAAAAATAAAAATGGTTTGAACCAAGACACAGAAGTCAAAACTGTAATTAAAGCAATTTTAGAGTCCTCTGGGCCAAATGGTCAAATCATGAATGAGCTAATCATTGACTCTGACTATGAAAAGATAATCCAGTTACTCAAAACTGTAGATCCCAGCTGGGCATAGAAGCAAAGGCCTATAATCCAACCTACTTGAGAGACTGAGGCAGGAGGATCACATGGTTGAGACTGATCTGGGCAATTTAGCAAGATCCTATCTCAAATAAAACAAAGGCTGGGAATACAGAGCTTAGGGCATGCCTAGCATGGTAGTGGTTAAAATCCCCACTACAAGAAACTAAGTCCTTACCACTACCACCCCACAAAAACCAACAATACATTTTCCTCATATCCAAATACAGAACACCTCTAACATAGAAGGTTCAGAACACAAATTCAGAAAGCATGTTTAAAAAGACTCTCCAGGAGTAGTCTAATTTAAAGAGTAGTCTAATTTAAAGAATACAAATAGTCATCATGCCTACAGTTCCAGCTATTTGGGAGACTGGAGAATGGTTTCAGATCAGGAGTTTGAGGCCAATCTGAATAATTACCAGGAGATCCCCATCTTAAAAAAAAAAAAGGTCATAATTTTTCTTCCAGCCCTTCCCTCATGTACTTGAATTGAACTCAGGGCCTCTCACTAAGTGCCTCTCAAATGTAGGGAAGCAATCCACCACTGAGCCATGTATCTCTAGCCCTTTAAAAAAATTTTTATTTTGAGATGGGGCCTCACTAAATTGCTGAGACTAGCCTTGGACTTGGATTTTTTTTTTGCCTCAACCTCCCAAGTCACGTATGCACATGCAATATCATATACAAAATACCAAACTTTTTAACGGTTATGTTCAAATATTTTTGGTCACCACCAAAAAAATTAACAAGCGACTTTTCTTGTTTATAGAAAGCATGAGAAATAAAAATAACCCTTTGTGATAATTACTAAGATACTCAAACACCTCTCAAAAAACCAGACCTTTTTAAAAGAAAAGGGGTTGGGGGTATATCTCAGTGGTAGAGTGCTTGCCTAGCATGCACAAGGCCTTAAGTTTGATCCTCAGCACCCACCAAAACAACAATGATGGAAAAAATAAAGGGAATGAACTACTTTAAGCCTCTAAATTCTTGCCCGAATTCCAAAATTCTCAATTTAATGTTAAAACAATATAAAGCAAATGCAAGATATTCTTTGGGAAGCCAAGAAAAATTACATGATGAGGGGCAGGCTCAAAATGGCTAAGTCTGGGGGTATAAAAATGGAAAATGGTTTGTTCTCTAGAATCAAGAGTGAATCCATGAAAAAGACTTCAAAGCTGAAAAAAACTGGTGACACTAACTTATGATGTAGCAGGCCACAAAAAAGGTCTTAGGGTTGGAGGTGTACCTTAATGGTAGGGCACTTGCTTGGCATGTGTAAGGTCCAGGATTCAATCTCCAGCATTGCCCAAATTTAAAATTCTTAAACAAATCTTGTATTAGATGTTTGCCTGTATTAAATATAAGTAATCATGACAATAAATAATCATTCTTATTTACTAAAAAATTATATGTTGCCAAATATACTTTGTATACATAAAGAAACAAGTTAATTAATTTTCCTGTTAAGAAAATAAGAGGATCAGGACCCAAGGTCTTGACCTTGGGCAAAAAAAAAAAATCCTCTCACAGACTGTGTTATACTGCCTCCTATAGGTAATCAAAGCCTGGAGGGCAACAATACCACAGTACTTAGGATAGCAAGATATCCTCTAAACTAGGTTAGAATTTAGAGAAATGAGGAAGATCAAAGTGGAAACATCCAAAATCCAATCAAAGGAACCAATGTATATCTTTAAGACAAACAGGACTTTAAATTTAATAGAAAAAAAAACTTTCTAAAAGTAGATAGCCTATAGATTATATCAAAGGGCAATTTCCACAGGGGAACAGGGAAGGAATAGTTCAGAAGTCAAGTTTGGAAAATGTTTTAACTATAAATGAATTCTGTGATCCACCCATACTAAGAGATACACCCATACAAAGTCTACCATAAGGGTACCCAACTAATTCCCCCATCCTCTGACTTCAGGTTCACTAAGCAGCTAATTATAATTTGTATTCCCATTCAGATTTGCCTACAGGGACAGACTGATAAGAATAACTGGTCCACTGTAGATTAAGAAAATTCATTCCAATTGTCTTTTAATTTTTTTCTAAATACCAAGCTACCATAATTGAGAAAATTAAGCTTTCATTTTCACAAGTTATGGGCCTCTATTATCTTATAAATAACTTTAGAGATACATTAACCCTTGAATGCCTTAGATCACTCTTTTTGTGAAATGGAAACAAAAATACTTTGTGGACTAAAGTTAATGTGTTTTTGGTACATAAAGACAAGAAAATGTTCTAGCTCACTCAAATGCCCAAGTTCACAAAGCTAGAAACAGCACAAAGCTGGGATCTGAACTCAGATTTACTCCAAATTCATTATTTTCCCACTACAACATTCCTAATAGGTTCTAGTGTCAGTTGTCACCCAGAACTTTACTTAAACTTTCTGGGTTTTATTTCTCTAAAAAACGACCTTCCTTCTAGGGCTGAGGCAACTATAATTTGTGTCCTACTCCACCAAAAAAAAAAAAAAAAAAAAAATTCATCCCTAACTTCCAAGAAATTTTTGGGCTATGTCTGTGGGGTTACTGGTGTACTTAATTAACTCCAGTATAAGTGTACTGAATGGCAGGATTGCTCCCATAAACACCATAGCAAGGGATTAATACCTGAGTAGAACTATCTGAGCACTGACTTTCTAAAATCAATGACTGGCTATCAGTACAAAAAGAATGGATTTCATCCCCCAGCTACAAGGCTGTCTAAAATTAAAGTCATAAAAAGGAAGACTGATAAACAGTCTTGAAAAGGCCTACCAAGATGGTTAGGTTACTAACTTTTGACAAGAAATGTTAAAATAAGGACTAAAAACCCACACAACTTTGTAACCAAGGACTTGTGATTTTTCACAGTTTGGTAAATAAATTCCCTAACAGTCCCAATAGAATGCTCAATATATTCACGTAAAACACTTCCAATGCTAAGTTTAAAATACTTCATGTAAACTGTGTTTACAAGACAAAGTTTTAAAAAATTAATATAGAAATATCATGGAACAGAAATATGAATGAAGTGAATAAAAACAATAATTTGACAAAAAGCTTGGTAAAGAAGGTTCAACAAGTTCAATAGAGATGAATTTAGTAAAATGATTCACAGGAGAAAGGAGGGTTATTCAAATAACTTCCTCTATATTTACATACAACTCTCAGATTTCACATTATCTTGACCTGATATAAGAATTTTTTCGGGTGGATGTTCTCCTCATAGAGGTAGCGTCTAAAACTTAAGGGAACTTTTTAATCCACTCTTCGCAAAGCGTTGCCAGATTTGACTTCCTCTAAACACCAAATATCTAGGAACCTAAGGCGGCTTCTAAAATCACAGCTAATAATTTTTTAGCCCAAAGTTAAGCTTTTAGGTTAAAACCTTCAATCTCATTTTGTTAAACTTTCCTTCTGATTCAATCTGATAAGCAGTCTGAGTCATACAAAAAATACAACAAATTCATTGCTAAGATTAGAAAATTCTCATTTCATCCCCCTCCCCCCCTACACACACACACAGACAACTTTTCAAAACTTTGTTCCCAGGCTTTCTAAACCCCCACGCTTAAGTTCCTCGCACCTCTGTCAATCGGAACGATGCCTTCACCCAGGAAAATGGTTTTTTATTTAAGTTGATAAGCCTTTTCCCAAAAGACCTCAAAAAGCAGGAGCAGGATATACTGTACCTGGGCGTTGGCTTCGTGGAGTTTGTGCTCGGTGGAGACGTGGTGCCTCAGAAGCAGGGTTTTCTTGTAGTTACGGGTCCCTCGAGAAAGCTCATCGTGCCCCACTTGCGGAAGATCCACGCTTCCCCCATCATCAGGGGTCTTTTGGCACCAGCCGCAAAACATAAGGCCAGTATCCTTTGAATATCGCAGCCAGGGAAAATCCTTGAGCCAGGAGGTCTGGAAAGAGCACTGTAGCTTCTGCATTAGGGACTTGGGCCGCGCGAGCGGGAAGTGCTGGACAGTCTCTCCTTCGCCAGCTCCCACACCGCTGCCCTCCGCTTCATCCCCACCATCGCCGCCCGACCGCCTGCTGCTGCTGCAGCTGCCGCCTTCCGCCCCACTGCCGTCGCCCAGGCTCGCCCCCTCCTCCTCGTCCTCGGTGCTGTCGCTCAGGGACGCGCCGTCCTGCATCAACTCCTTCCCCTCCAGCGCGTCAAGCTCCAGATCCACAGCCGCCGGCCCTCGCCCATTGAAATGCCTCAGGGGCCACGCCGAGGTCTCCGGGCGGCCGCGGCTACTGCTATTGTTGCCGAGACCCCCGCCGCCACCTCCTCGGAAGGCCAGAGTCCGACGGTTCCTTTCCGCTAGCAAAGGGCCCCCCGAGCCACCGCCGCCCAGCGAGGTGGGGCCGACCGCGTCTTGGGGGAGCAGCAACTCCTTGGTTTCCTCGGCGGCGGTGGCCGCCCCAGTGGAGGCCTCCAAGTGTTGGGGCTCCAGGCCCTCCAATTCCGTTTCCTCGTCGGCCCCCCGCCCATTGGGCTGCTGAAGCGCGGGCGGCGCTGGCGGCGGGGGCTGTCTTGGCTGGGGCTGCTGAGGCCAAGCCGAGGCCTCCCCGCCAGCGTTATTGTTCGTGGAACCGCCGCCGCTGGCGGTGACCAACCCGCCTCCTCGGAACGCCAGCGTCCTGCGGTTCATTTCACTGAACGACATGGCGCGCGCCGCCGCCGCCGCCCGGTGCCCCGGCTCGCGCCCGGCCTCGGGCCGCGTCCCGCGCGCTCCCCGCGTCTCCCCCTCCGTTTCGCCCCCGCCCCCGCCCCCGGCGTTCCGGTCTCGCGGGGCTCAGCCTCACCCTCCCGCCCGGCTCGCGCTCGCTCCCGGGGCTGCCGCACGCGTCCGCTGCCGCCGGGCCGCCGCCTCCGGCCGCTCTCCTCGTCCTCCACCCCCGCCCCGCAGCGCTCCGGGCAGCGTCCCGCGCGGAGAAGGGGGCGGGCGGCGGAGCGGTGAGCGGCGAGTCGGGGCGCGTGGGGCCTTCGAAGTTGAGAGGCGGAGTGCGGGAGACCCTCCGCTGCCCCCTCTTTTAAAGCCGCGCGCACACACCGACCCTCCAACAGATATCCTTCCTCCGGCGCGCCGAGGAGTCCCGACGCCGCCGCCGGCTTCCGAGGCGCTGAGGGCGAAAGGCACGTTAAACTGCTGGGCTCCGACACATAACGAACCGACAATAAAGCCGGCGGAGCGTTTCCGTCCGACCAGGCCCTGGCGGAGGTCGAATGGCAAATGAACAACGGACCGTGCGCCCACAATGCACCGGGGTAGCAGTAACCGCTGGAGGGGGAAAGGGTGGGGGCCGGGCGGGGGGAGGGGGCTGGGCTTGGGGTTGGGCTGGGGTGGGGTGGGGGCGCCAGGGGACCGGGAAAGGGGCCGGGCCGCGCCTCCGGCCTGGGGGCGGGGGTGCGGCCGCAGGGAAGGAAGTCGGCTAAGGGGCGGGGGACAAAAGGCCAGGCGTCAGGCTGGGGGTCCCAGGGAGGGGGCGGGCGTGTGCGTCCAGGGCTGGGCTAAGCGGAGGACAAACAGCTGGCGACTGTCAGGGTCTGGCCGCCTCCCCGCTGCCCACACGCACCTACTCTCGCCCGGGACGCTCATTTTCCTTCCCTCGCCACGAGTTCACCTGGGACTTTGGAAATAACTGTGCGGTGGAAGCTGCGCTCCTGCCTTGTCATTTGCTGGGGGCGGGTGGCGGTGGTCAAGGAAGTGAACTTATTTTGTTTCTTCACAAAGACTGGACCAGGCGGTGCCTTTCACGCGAAGAGGTTACAACCACGGACACCTCCTCAGATACACTGTGTGCGCGAGGCAGCACCTCCGGCCCAAGGCAATAATCATTTCACAGAAAACGCACCGCCCCGAGTGTCTTATTGCTGTGATGAAATGGAAATTTAAATAAAAGGTCGAACACGTGCGTTCACTGGGAAGTATTGACATGGGTGTTACATCACCAGCAGCCAATCAGATAACTCCAGTCATGTTTATACTTCTACAAACCACCTTGTGAGTATTACAGTATGTCATAACGTTATAAATATTAGGCAGGGTTTTCCCCGGCAGCGGGGAGGAGTCTGCTTATACGGGCGTTGTGTGCGGCTCCGAAGATTGTATGTGACTCCGAAGATCGTGTTTAATGACAAGCATCATTTTTTAAGACTTTTTTTTAGCTGTTTATATTTCATATGGAATTTTTACATAGAATGATTAGAGCAGATTGAGCTGGAAATGAACCTCCCATAACTATAATCTTAGTGAGATTTATAAGAAAAAGGTCTTACAATTCCAAGCCCTTAAACTTCTGACTTAAATATTTTAATACGCTAAATTTAGCAAATTCTGAAGTGTTTAAATTCATTTACTAATTTGCAATGTAAGATAAATCTTATTTGGGGGCAAACATATTTCGGGTAAAAAAAAAAGTTCTCCAACTGGAAAGATTTTTTTTCCTCTTTCAAGAAATATGTTTATTAGAAATCGGAACACTAATATAAAATAAATTCAAAATAATTGTTGAGCCAGGCGTGGTTGAGGCGCAGGCAGCTCCAAAGGCTGAGGTAAGAGGATTAGGGAGTTCAAAGCCAGCCTCAGCCACTCTGCAAGACCAAGTCTCAAAATAAAATGTAACCAAAGGGTTGGGGGTGTGGCTCAGTGGTTAAGCACCCCTGGGGGTTGAATCCCTGATACCAAAAAAAAAAAAAAAAAAAAGCACGTTAATGTAGTCTTGTGATTACTGTCTTTTTTTTCTGTTTTTAAGAGAAAAACAATATTTAAGTCTTCAAATATATAATGTGAAATAGGCTATTTTCAAGGTAGCTTTTAAAAACAAATTTTCCTGAACATATTATAAAATACCATGAACTAAGCACATGCTTGCACATCCAGACTCATATATTGATTGTATAGATTGATTCAAAGCCACTTTCACTTAATTCACTGTAATTTTAGCATCTGTATAGTGTTGTATATCAAACAATAACATTAGTTCTACCTTACAGATTAAATGTAATTTCAATATAAAGAATGACACTACTACCCTCCCACCAAAGGACTTGGACTTTGAGTTATTTTTCCAATGATAAGCTTATTGTCACCTATCCTTGTTGTCCAACCTGGGCACCAGTAATCCACAAGCTTGAAATTGCAATACAGGTCTTCAGGTTGGTGCAGTTTGTAGGTCTATGACCTGGACCTAATTTGTACCTTAAAAAATGAGAGAATTCTCCCTATTGTGCTTTATGTAATTTGTGCCATGTATAAAAGAATTAACAATAATACCATTCTTTGTCCTTAGTGCATTTTTAGAATTCTAGGCATTTTTAAAATATATTATTATATTTTAACCGTTATAGTCGCTTTCCCCATTTAAAAAAGGAGTTACTGAAGTTAATTGCTTAACTGAGATGAAGGTGATGGGAAGTAGAAATGGACTTTTCAACTATAAAATTTGTTGTCATTCTAAAACTGTTAAATTCAAATCTTTGCTTTCTCTCATTTTATATCCCTATTGCACAATAGGTACTCTATTAGTTTATGCTACTGTAATTATATTTGCTTTCTAATGGTGTTAGAATCAACCAAAAGTGTTCAAATTCTTAATGGTGCTATTTTGTTCAAACATATATCTTACCTTATGTTATACAAAATCTACATTGTTGTCTGTCTGGAATTGTTTTATCATGAACTGATTAGAAATGAATAATACTAGATTCAAGTGATAAAAATAAAATGCTTAAATTCTAGGACCTCTGCACTAACAGCCAAACAAGTACCAGTCAGTCTGGTGTGTGTGTGTGTGTGTGTGTGTGTGTGTGCGCGTGCGCACACATAAGCACACATACATACTTGTGTATATATTTATCACTCTGTGTATATGTATAAACACACACTCACACATGCATACATATACATATTCAGTTGTTTTCCTCTGAACCCTGAAGGAAGATTGGAAACCTTGAAGGAATCAGGAAAAAAAGTTTAAAGGGATAATAATCACAAATATCTCAGAATACCCGGTAACAAGGGAACTTTGAGTAACAGAAGGGGATCTCCTGCTCTGTAAATGGAGTTTTTAGGAATTCCCCCACCCCTTCCAGTCTCTTACTAGCAAGCAGGGATCTGTTCTCCCCAATAACCCATATATGTACCGTTAGGGTTCTACCATATTTAAGGGAATTCCCCCTAATGCTTACCAGGGGAACCCCTCAAGAATGGGGCATCCCCAACCAATTTGTCCCCTAATTTCACTTCAGGCAATGTAAAACTGCTGGAGGTTATGCTTGATGTTATGCTTGATGTTGTTTTCCCATAACTCTGATGGTGATTAGCTCCTATAACTGGCTCAGTAGTTGATCTTTCATGATCAGACTGTCCTTGGTAGAGGTATGTTGCGTCTATCAGCATTTTTGCCTCTTCAGGGTCTAGAGACAATCACCTATGATGCTATAAGTGGAAATTGACATGATCATCCACCAGAAGGATGTATGTGAGGTTAGGAGACCACCTTATACTCCCCAACCTATAGGCCCAGGCTGGCACAAAATAGGCAAATAAATAGTAAATGTTTATTGGGTAATTTACTGCATCTTCCCTTGAGATCTATTTTGATAAACAAACTTTTCTTCTGTTTGATTTTTATTTTTCTTGGTTAAATAACAGTTATTCTTCAAGTATTGAGTTAATGTTTCCATTGCATTTACATTAAATGTAATAAAATATGACTATAGTTAAGTAATATTACTAGTATCATTATCTATGTAGTTACAGTGAATTACCATCAGTTTACACAGTGTCCTTGTGAATTAAATCAAGGTAGCAATTATTATTATCATTTAACACATGGAGAAACCCTGGTACAAAAAGGTTAACTATTTTGTTCTGGGTTTTTGAGGCAAAAGTTAAGTTTATAAGGTTACCCACAAGAGTAAAATACCCTTCCATCTAAGGCACCCTTTGCCACTAAAGTATGTATTAACAATGTTATATCTGCATAATTTTTAACTACACAAAATTTTTAAATTTCTTGTGCAAATATGCTTATTTCCAGACTTAAGGACTAACATGTAATATAGTCTTCCTTTTCAGTGCCTAGCTAAAATTGTATTTTGGTCTTTATAGGTTGGATCCTCGCATATTTGTTATATTTATTACTATGTTTAATATCATTAAATATTTTAATGATATACCATAATTGATTAATCCTTCATTGTTGAATATTTCATTGTTTACATTTTTTGTTTGGTTTTTTCACTTAACTCTTTAGTGACCATCCTCCTTGAAAGTAAAACTTGATATGATAATTGCTTAAGACAAATTCTAAAAGAAGAATTCCTGACAAAAAGAATGAACATTTTTATAAATAGAGATTTTTAAAGTGAACTAGGAAAAGAAATATGACAAAGGCTTTATATCACTGATATACCAAGGGCCATTATAAATAAAATTTTAAAAACACAAATATACACAAAGGAATATATCGGAAAATTACAGAAAAAGAAATACAAATGCTATAGTTCAGACATTTGGGTCTTCTCAAATTTATTTCTTTTTTTAAAATATTTTTTTAGTTGTTGATGACCTTTATTTTATTTATTTATATGTGGTGCTGAGAATTGAACCCAGCGCCTCTCACATGCCACCACTGAGCCCCAGCCCCAGCCCCAGGGTCCTCTCACATTTCATATGTTAAAACTAAACCTCAGCTGGGAATGGTAGCTCACACCTGTAATCCCAGTGACTCAGAAGGCTGAGACAGAAGGATATCAAGTTTGAGGCCAGCCTCAGCAGCTTAGGGAGGCCTTGTCTCAAAAAAAAAAAAGAAGAAGAAGAAGAAAAGAAAAAAGAAATAAACCAATCCCCCAAAACCAGGACCAAATGTTTTCTCTGATAAGTGGATGCTAATCCATAAGGGGGGGCAGGACATGGGATGAGTAGAGGAACTTTGGGTGGGGCAAAGGGGAGGGGGGAGAGGGTGAAGTACACCTTCAGTCTGATCATGAGGTATAGGAAAGATGGTGGAATGAGATGGATATCATTACCCTACGTACATGTATGATTGCACGAATGGTGTGATTCTACTTCATGTACAATCAGAAAAGTGAAGAATTCTTCATTTGTGTACAAAGAATTGAAGAGCTTTCTACTGTCATGTATAACTGATTAGAACTAATAAAAAAATAAAGTACAAACAAGGTTAATTTAAGGAAAAAAATTTTAAAATAGCACAACAGAGAAAAAAGGGGGGCTGGGGT